TCCGAGAATTTGGGGCGTTACATATTAAAACCCACAATCTCTCCCAACACTAGCACACCTCCACCATCGAACCCCATAGTACACATCCACCACACACCGCACCACAAACATCCTCCACCACCAATAACAGCCTGCACCACTACCATCGCACCACCACCACTAAACAACCATCAACACCACTATAACCTCTCACCAAAACCAACACCAACACCTCACCACCACTGCCATATCCAACACCACCTGCACCAACCACCTGTAGCACCACCATATCTGCGACCATCTTAGATCCCCAAACCACCCTAAAATCGCCCAAAACTGGTTTAGATAGTTGGGACATCAAAAGAAGCAAGTTCGCCACTATCTAACTGTAGCAGCGGCGAGGGAGATGCCTCTGTCAACGCTCGCATTAACGGCTACGAGGGAGCAGCACATCAGCGGTATCACATCAATAGGAGCCTTGTAGCCGCGATCGGAGTCTCGGCGGCGGGTTCTCTTACCTACTGTAGCAGCGAGGAGGAAACACAACAGCGACTACGATGATGCCGCTGCCGACTCTCACAACGCTGGCTGCGAGGGGAAAACACAGCAGCGATGACGCTGCTGCTCGACTCTCACAATTGTCTCTGGCGGCGAGCGACAACAGCAACGGCAACAGAGAGAGTGAGAGAGAGAGACGAGAGAAATGGGTGGGATTTGGGGGAAATGAGGTGGGAGTGGAGGGAGGTAGGGTTGACGTGGGAATTAACTAGGGTTTGGAGTGTATATATTTAGTAAAAATATTAATTAAAATAAAAATATATAATTTTGGAAATATTCAATTTCCAATCTGATTTTGAAAGTTTAAAAACTTAAAGTATGGTTTTGTGTANCTGATTTTTGAAAGATTAAACTTCTCATCTGATTTTAGAATGTTGAATAATTAAAGTAGAGATTTATGTAATTTCCACTTATTTAGATGCCATAAGCCCAACAATTTAATTTTTTATTAGACCACTTTAATTTGACTCAATTTGAAGATAGCCTTATACACAATTAATTACATATGTAAATCCACATGACAAATTAATAAACCGAAAAACCAGATTGAAAAGAAATCAGATCTAGTTGGCTTCAATGTTGAAGTCTTCTGATCTGGTTTTCTTTTGGTGTTTGTGTAAGATGGCATTAATTGTGGTGGTGATAGTGATGATGGTTGTTTTTATGGCGGGTAACGATGGCGATGGTGGCATAACAATAAATGTTACAAGAGGTGACGACAACAACTACAACGACAGCGAAATAACAATAAATGTTACAAGTAGTGTGACCTATAAAATTGAATGTTATAAGTTGTAGGGTGAGTGGCATAACACTAAAAGTTATTAGTGTTGATATTGTTGGCGGCAGCAATGATAGTGGAAATAGGTATGTATATATATATAACACATTGTGTTACAAGTGATGGTGGCAATAGTTGTGGTACAACTACAACTATGATGAAAATCGGGAGATGAAATTTGTGAAGCATAATTTTCCAAAAATTAATACATTGTATTACAAAATTTATTGTAAAAAATTAAACTAAAAATTTTTTTGAGAATAAAAAAGATTTAAAAGTAAGTGTAGAATTTGTAAACTTTTTAAGGGTAGTTGTGAATTGTTGCCGTCAATATTTTTCAAACAGAAAAAGATACTCTATGATATAAAACAAAGTGACCTAGTTATCATATTATGCTTATGGAGAACTAGACACGAGAAAATAGGTGGCTACGGATTTGCGGGTCAGCGGAATGTGAAAAGTAGCAATGAAGACAAAATTTAAATAAATAATCTTTTATTCAATTGTGAAACATAGCAAATGCAGTATTGACTTCTTGCTAAGAGTCTTTTCTTGATAAGAATGTGGTTATGATGAAGCTTCAATCCCATCTCAAGATTAGGATTAAGAGTGTTGAATCTAAAGGTCCTCTCTAACATGGGATGATTTAAAAACCAGGCAAATAAAATTTCTTCATAACATGCAATTGAGCTAGGCCGATTTCAAGTAAATGTGCCAATCTTGCATCCCTATTTTTTTTTTGAGAAGCCAAGAGAAATTACCAAACTATTGGATTTTCCTTTACTGTCAATTTCTGTAAAAGATCTTTAGCCTCTTTTAAAACATCAGAATCAAGCAATCATGTACCAACTTCACCAATCCCATGTCTGCATTTACACTCAACAAAGAATCCAGCAAGCAACGCCATCACTTGGTAGCCAATCAAGCAGAATATGTCCCACTTCAAAGCATCCTAATGACTGATCACCATTGGTTGTTAGAATTAATGGATATTTTTATAGATGTGAATTTAAAAAGTTTTCAATTAGTGTAATGATTAGTCACGACTTTCAAATGCAAAGGGTGGATATCGAAAAGTCATGAATATTTTCAATTGGGTGTGATTACTCGGAAAGATACATAGCTAAAAGTTATGATATTTTAATAGAGTGCAGTTTAGACCGTTTAATATAAAAATGTATGATCTAATGAGCCACATTAATTTATGTTAAAACCATTCTAAAAAGCCGATTGAAAATCTGTAAATAGGGACCTCTGGTTCTATATTTCCTATACGAAATCAATTAATATGCAATGTCGGAGAAACTAAGCAAACTAGTGAAAGGAGTGGTTTAAAAATAGGGACCCCTGTTTCTAAAAATGATTAGTTTAACTAAGCAAACTAGTGAAAGGATTGGGCAAACTTCTACGTCTAATCTGTTTATCATGCCACCAACATCTCAATATGAAATGTCGGAGAAACTTAATGGTACAAATTTCAAATATTGGCCATTGAGGATCGTGTTCTGCCTGACTACATCGAATTTGATAAAAAT